GTGGGGGAGGCAGCCCAGATATTCTCGAAAGAGCGCCCCAGGAGAAACAAGCTTGACCACTGTGCCATCAAGTTCCCCCGACCACCGAGTCTGCCATGAAGAAGATAGAAGACAACCACCATAAAAAGAAAACAAACAAAAGAACCCAAAGCTGTCATAGGAGCCCTGACGTCAGACTGCACGCATGCTCAGAAGACAGTGCACAGGGGGAGTGCACAGGGGGACCAGCAGGTGGTGTGGTGATTAAGGCGCTGGACACTTCCACGTGGCCGATCACGGTTGGAGTCCTGGACCTGGTGGCTTGCTTTCTCATTTTCCCTCTCTCTCTCTCTCTGTCTCTCTCTCTGTGTGTCTGTCTCTCTCTCTCTCTTTCTCTTTTCCCCTCTTTCTATCTCTCTCAGGCAAGCACATATGCCTTATGGCAAAAACCTTAAAAGAAAAAAAAAAAAAAATCACTGGTATTAAACCTAAGGGGAGCCCACTCAGACTTTCACTTCTCCTCGGTGGTAACTGTGGTAATCTTTAAAACCCCGGAAGGGAAGAGGCCAGAGTGAGAGGCTCCATGCTCAGAAGGAGAAGTAACTACTGGTGAGGTGACTTAATAAACAGGTCTGCTCTGCCTCTGCATCAAAGTTCTTCAAAGTATCAGAAGCCAGTGTCCCACATGGTCAGGAGTGAGAAAACACCAGCCCCAAGGCTGCTGAGAGGACCTGCCAGTTGGGTCTCCATCGCGAGAACTGAGGGAGCACTCAATCACAGCACATTCTCAGCCATCACTGGGTTGGTCCAAAGTCTTGGGCAAAATCTTAGTGATGCCAGATTTCCTTCGAAATTATACATCCCTTCATCTTAGAAGCAAAATTAGTAAGCTCCCATTTCCTCAGTGATGTAAACTAAAATTGGTAGGAAGATACTATAAAACTGGGAGGAAAGTCTCTCTCTATAATGGTCCCTCCTTCAAACTATGGGCAACTGTCCCTTTAAAAGACCCTGACATGATCTTTTTGGTCTCTAATCATATCTATCTCTAGAAAGCAGATGTACTTGGTTGTGAGGGGTTAGGGGTAAAATACCTCACTTTTTTTACATTTAGACTATCTTATCCCACCTACCATCACTTCTCAAGGCCACTGCACAACTGAAGTAAAATCCATACCAAGTGAGAGTGGTGTTGCCCAAAATCCCCTGCAGGTGGCGCAAGGGACTATGATGAAATTGACTCACTGCTCTGGGAAAATGAAAATCCTTTTGCTTTCATTCATTCCAATGAAAACATCTCCCCTGCAGGTGGCCTCTAACACTCTACTGAAGGTCAAACCGACTAGTGATATATCACAGGACAGGGGAACCCCAGAGAATCCACCTTTTAAAAATGAACAGGATTCCCTTTGCAGTCTTTTAATAAAAATCAGCCCAGATTGGGTCACCTCCAGGTCAGTGATACCACTGACCTCTAAGTTGAAGCAGGCCTATAGATGTGGGTGATTTTTTTTTCCTTTGTCCTGTACAAGATGTAACATAGATTCAAAAAAATTTCTTGCCAATCAGAAAATTTTAACAAAACCCTGGCTTTTTAGTTTCTTTGGAAAATTTTAAAGCTATGGCAATGGAGGGCCCATTTGCACACAGGGCAAAAATTAGTTAAAGCTAAGGACCAGCTGCCTCCCTTTAAAGAGGGATCCCGCACCCACAGGACCCAATTGCATCCTCTACGTAGGTTCTGAGTCCAGGACCTCCATAATAAATGCAATTCTAGGAAAACAAATGCCCTGGCAGTATAACCCAGTGTGCAAACACACAGTACCCTAACCACAGGAGATGCATGGTTTCTACCTCTGGGTGATTTATGAACAAGCACAAAACGATCAGCTAACAAAATACAAGGACAGCACCACTGGGACTGACCGCTCCAACTGTACCGCAGTCCCCTGTGAAGAACAGGTAAGTTAGGCTCCAGGTTTGTATGCCACAAAAGAGTTCATGAGGAGGTAGACTTAGATTTTCTGAAGTCTTTCTTGGAGTCTCTAAAAAAGGTGCTGCAGTGTCCCAACCTCCCACCCTAAAATCCAACAACGAGGTCTGTGAAATTTTCACCTTGGCTGCACCAATCTGCTCCTTTCGAAACTTCTCCAAGGGAGTGATGAGCACCTCGCTGGCATTTTCAATCTGGTGAAGAGAAAGAGGGAGGAGAAAGGGACATCGCATTAGCATCGGTGAAGAATTATAGCAGCCTCCCCATCATGTCTTAGTAGGAAATTTGAATAAGCAATACTGTGTGTGTGCCGACTGCTTACGGTGCTTCAACCAAGGGTGTGTCAAATCAAAATCCAGCTATCGGCTCAAAATATATTCCTCCTACACATAATGAATATAGATTCTTTCAAAGACATAAAGGGACCTCTAAAAACATGAACAAACATCTAAAGGCTGGGATACATGGAAACAGAGTAGGAGCAAAGCTTCAAGCTTCAGGTGACATCTCAGAAATGTTCATTCACCCAAGTTATAGGTAAACTAGATCAACACTAGGTCTAGGTTTAGGTTTAGGATAAAGGGGGGGAAAAAAAAAAGCACTTGGTGGCATGGTCTTATGTTGCTCTACGGGTCCTGGGCTGGGGCCAGGACACCTGTGCCTCCTGACTACTGGCTGCTTCTCAGCCTCATATCACAGGGTCCCAGCACTCCAACCCAGTGTGACTCCAATGCAACTCAAATGCACCAAAGTGGCCTCACCCCAGGGCCAATTTGCATTTGGCTATTCCCTCAGAGGCTCTACCCCCAAATCCTTGCATGGACAACTTCTCAATGAATTTAAGGTTTCATTTCAAGGTCACCTCTTAAGGAAGCTTTTCCTGAGCAATGCAACCCAAAGATGCTTCACACCACTGTGCCATTTTCTTTGGAACGCATTTGCTCAAGTTTTCTGGCTCACCATTACACACATTTATGGGGTCATCGGAAAAGTCATGGCATATTTTCCAATGCAAAAATGCATCCTGTCTTTTCCAACAACCCAATATGTATGGATGCACATATGCATGCATGTGCACATATACAATCTTGCAACATTTCACTTGTCCACCACTGTCCCCCAAACACATAAGAATAATGAAACAAAGGAGCATTCAAACATTGTTAAATGACTGGATGAATGAATAAATGATTTCTTGATTGACTGCCAACTGTGACCATGCGCAAAGCATTTAACCTCTCTGGGCTCTAATTTCAGCATCGGTGAAATAAGTGAATTGTTCAGCTCTGAGAGTCGATGGTCTTTGCTAAGGCAGTACAACATTTTACAATCTTTCCTTTTAAAGTCAGGCACTCAATGCTCAGTCTTTGCTCAACTAATTATTTCAAGAATCTCACTGCAACAAAGCATTATTTTTTTCTAAATTTCATATATGTCCTTCGCAATGAAACCAACCGAGAAAATGCCAGATGCCAAAGGACTGAGCGGACAATGTGTGGACAGAGAAAAGCAGGCCTTCAAATGTGTTACCATCTGCCTTCTTCTCGATTGTGAGAACACTTCTTTCAGAAAAGTGCGTTTTAACACTGAAGTATTGTGATGTTATTTAATTTGTTTGATTTTTATTCATTAATATTGCTTAATCAAGGAAGTCTCTGCCCCACTGCAGCTCTCTAAAGCTCACAAAGATGTGCCAGGCCCCTAAGTCAGTCGTGTTCAACCTTAGCTGTACATTAGAACCCGCTGGGGGACTTTAAAAAATCCTAATGTGTAAGCCACAGTCCAGACCAATGAACTCAGAATCTCTGGACTTCGTCCCAGATGTCAGTACTTTTTAAACGCCTTAAGTTATTCCTATGGGCCTCTGTGACTGAGAATTCAGACCTACATAGAGCCTTAAAAGACAAAAGCACTTAATTCTCACCTGGGAATCAGGACACCCCCGTCCTTGTCCCAGTCCTCCATCTACTTGTTATCAGCCTTGATCAGACCCATTTTCTCATCTAGCAAAGGAAGAGCTGCAGATAATGAACAATAAGGTTCCTCTCGGTCTCAGGGTCTATGGCCATCTAACTTCCACTCAGTTCCAAGCACTGCATGCTTTTTTTTTGGAGAGGTTTTTGCTATAGGGCGTGTGCGCTTGCCAGAAAGACAGAGAGAGACAGAGAGACAGAAAGCAAGAAATCACCCCCCAGGGGGGATGGTCATGCTGAAATCCCTTCTCCTCCATTCTCCTCTCGGGATCTTGGGCACGCACGCACATGCGCCCGGCGTGAGTTTAAGACACCGAGTCCAGGACTCGAACCACAGTCGACTACATGAGAGTCCAGCAACATAGCCATTACACTAACTGTTGGTCCCAGTACTGTGCTACAAAGAAGCGAAACCCCGCCCCACCCTGTCAAGAAACTCATTTAATATGACACAGTGAGACACACATACACGCACACACAATAATTATCAGGACGAAATATGGTAAACACAAGATCACGGGCATGAACTGACTGTTAAGAAAACACCCAAAAAAAGAAAAAGAGAAAAAAGTCAAATATCCCAGTGAGTCAAGAAAGGCTTCCCAAAGAAGGTCCAGCTTTGCTGAGCTGACAGTGAAGCCGTCAGAGGGCAACGAGGTAGAGAAGCAGCTTGCAGTGGCCAGTTACTCAGATGCAGACAGTAGAAACTCAATTCACTGACATTAATAATAAAATTGCAGAGCAAGCTAAAAAGCATAATCCCTCATTGTTCCCTTACCACAGGCCATAGCAGTCTGCAGGGTATTCATGGTGGTTTGCTCACCACACCCTCCTCCCACCCCCAAATACTGACTCGGCCAAGAATCAGACTCAAAAGAATCATTTCCCTTTCTCAAGCACTAGCACGTGCACAAACACACAAGCTTTCTCCTGCCTTCATTCACCACCAGCCTTGCAGCCACTACCACTGCCCCCCCTGATTCCGGTTCAAGCCCCCAGTGGGGAGCAATCAGGAGAAGCGGGGTCTCTCTCTGCAGGGGCAAAACTGAGAGGCCTCTACTCTGTCTGGAGGTCTTGTTTTGTTTTTGGTTTTTTTTTGTAGAGAGGTTTTTGCTATAGGGTGCGTGCGCTCACCAGAAAGACAGAGAGAGACAGAGAGACAGAAAGCGAGAAATCACCCCCCAGGGCGGAATGGCCATGCCGTAATCCCTTCTACTACGTTCTCCTCTCGGGATCTTGGGCACGCAATGGCCATGCAGTAATCCCTTCTACTGCGTTCTCCTCTCGGGATCTTGGGCACACACACACACACACCTGGTGTGAGTTTAAGCCACTGGGTCTGGGACTCGAACCGCGGTCGACTACATAGGAGTCCAGCGACATAGCCATTAAGCTAACTGCTGGTCCCTGGAGTTTTAAAGAACTCCTACAATTTTTGGTAGTATGCAAACGTTGGTTTGAAATCAGACTGGGTTGCTTTTTAACTTTTTAAAGAACTCCTACAATTGTTGGTAGAATGCAAACGGTTTGAAATCAGACTGGGTTGCTTTTTAACTGTGTGATCCTCGACAAGTTACTTAACCTCTGGAAACCTCAAGCTTCATTCAGAAAATGGGGATAATATAGATATCCGTTCAGTCATCATCATGAGGATTAAAACAGAAAAATGCACGTACAGCACTGGGCCACATATGTCTTGGTAGACTTAGTGCCCAAACTGTCAGCTGTTAGTATTGGAAGATAACAAAGATGCACATTAGTACCCTCTTCCCTGGGCCTCTGAAGCTCTGCCACTCAGAGAAAAGACCTGGTAGGGACAAACCAGTAGGGGATTTCAAATCAGGCTTCATTCATAGATTCTTAGGGACATGGAGGAATATGCAAGGAAGTTCCTGTGTGTGCGGAATTACTCACCCATTAATGCCAAACCTTATCAGAATGATCCTAGTAAAAATACATCTCTTAAAAATCCAGAGATCGGGACCAGCAGGTAGTATAATGGTTATATCACTGGACCCCCCCATGTTGTTGACTGTGGTTTGAGTCCTGGACCCAGAGACTTAAAACTCATAGCAGGCACATGTGCGTGTGTGCCTAAAATCCAGAGAGAAGAATGGAAGAGAAGAGATTGTGACGTGGCCACCCCTTCTAGGGAGTGATTTCTTGCTTTCTGTCTCTCTGGCAAGTGCACACACCCTATAGCAAAAATCTCCTAAAACAAACAAACAAACAAGCATTGGAAATCACCATTTCATTCCTCAATTTGCACAGTGCCTCCCTCTCTGAAGAGCTTCTTAGAGTTATCTTTATTAACCAAGTACCCATCTACTGGGTGCCTATGACATTGCAGGAAATAAAAGATGGTGTAATGGTTATATCACTGAATCTCTACATGGTGACCACAGTTCGAGTCCCAAACCTGGAAGCTTGAAACTCAGGCTGGGTGCATGTGTGTGCATGCCCTAAATCCCAAGAGGAGAATGAATTGTGGCGTGGCCACTCCCCCTGGGGGTGGGACGATTTCTCGCTTTCTGTCTCTGGCGAATGCACACACCCTATCACCAAAAAGAAAATTAAAAAGAGAAAGGAAAGGGCTTTTGGGTAGGTTGACAGGTGGAAGGAACAGGCAGCAGAATGGGGCAGCTTCTTCCCATCCTGCTGGTAGAAAGTCGAGGAATCCAAAGTTAAGTAATTGAAAAGATCCACCTGTATGTAGAGATCTTACAGAGACCCTTTAGGAGCACAAGGATGCTGTTCTAAAGTTACTCACCAGGGTAATCCTTTAATATTGACAAAAGGCTTCAAACCCTGCAAACACGGGGCTTGCTCAAGAGCAAGCACTCAAGTGGCAGAGTCTAGACTCAAACCCAGTTCTCTGACAACAAATCCCTTGGTGACATGAACATACCCTCTGGGCCCAACGGCAGCCCAGACACACTCACCATCCGTATCCGTTCATCTTCAAGATTCTTGAGGACAGTGGCAAACTCCTGCAAAGACCTTGCTGGAAAACAGAAAGAGGACATAAGATCAAAGGAGAGCAGGTCTTTGGGAACCTTTCCCATCCCAGCTCTTACGTTAGAGCTTTAAATTCCATGACACATGAAGATGCCTAAAGTAGATTGCTTCCCCAGACTTCACTTATTTTTTAATCATTAACCATTAAGGATGACCCAGAAATGGAGGTTAATTCCACCTGGCACTCTAGCAAGAGAAGGATTTCTTCAAGGAAAAGATCTGCCTGTTCCTAGGAATATCCAGGTCTGAGGAGATACTGGCGAACTCCCAAACCCTGGCCTGGAAGCAGGCAGAGTTCTGTTTAGGAGTTGAAGAATTTCCTGTCCAGGATTTGACCTGCTCAACCTTTGTCATGGGGATGCGTCACAATCCAACCTTTTCTTTGGCACCAGAACCAAACAAACAGTGCTGCTGGCATTGGAGGCTCCCTCTCTGGCTTTTCCTGGGTCCTTCCTCTCAGTCCTCAAGTCACTCATTAATAGAACACAGCCTGCAGCACGGCAGACGGACACAGCGTCATTCACAAAGACCACAGACATCAAGTGCTGTGGTCCCAAGGAGACTCGAGACACAGGGCCATGTTGGGAAAAGCACCCATAGGTTCAGAAGTTACAACAGGATGTTTTCATGGCTCTCAGGTGTCTCTCAATTGCCTTTGCGCACGCCCAGATCCTGGTGCTCTGTACGGCAGCAAGGGCTCAATAAACGCCGAATGAATGAATGAATTCAATAAAACTGTCACAATTCTTGCTCACTGAATGGAGTCAACCAAGATGCCCAGTGCAAGAAGAATGAGGTGTAATGATGAGGTTCTGGCAAAGGAAGGTGTCTTGACGTTGCATATCTCCACGCTCGGGGCTGTGCACAGGAGAGTGCGGGAGGCCAAGAACGAAGCAGCAGGCATGTTGGTAAGGAGTAACAGACCTCCACGGCTCGTTAAAGGAACAGAGAGAGAGATGGGGTCCACAGTGAACTGGACACAGAGCTCTCCCCCGGCTGAAGGCTGGGGTAGGTACACAGTTCCAGCCAACTGCTGCCAAGCCAAAATGTGGGCCCAAAAGATCCGATTCTCAACTAGAATTTTAGATCATTTCAATGTGGATAGTAATTCAGTTTTTCAAAATGAGAGCTGAAAGAGGGCTGCATTCTAATCTCAGCCCACGAGCTATCGCTGTGCAAATTCGGACCTAATTCTCCCTTCATCTACATGTGCTCTGCTTCCGCTCTGACTTCTCGGTACTGTGGTTACGGGGAGAGCATCGCAATAGTCAGGAAAAGAACAGTAGAGGAGGTGGAGAGGAGAGCCTCACTCAACACCTCAACCGTTCCCCTGCATGCTGGAGGGTGAGGCACCGTCAGACCTCGAGAAGTTCAGACCCACCCCCAGCCCCGGTCCTCACATCTCTCTGCCCCTCTAATACCACTAGGGATTTCCTTAGAGACTTCCAACCCCAGGCAAGATGTCCTCCCAGGACACAGAGAACTGTGACATGCAGTGACCCTTATCTTCTGCACAGTTATGACTTACCTATGCACATCTCATCGTCTGTTTCTGCATCTCCGATGCACTGAAATTTAAATTCATTTAAAGAATCTGCAAACTTCCGCTTTGCTGAAGACAAATCTGTCAAAAAAAAAAAGAGAGAGAGAGAAAATCAGGAACTGCTGAAATTAAACTGGCTTCCTATTTGCTGACCTTCTTAGTCCTTTGAGCCTGGGGAAAACTTGGAGGAAGGACTTGGAAACACCCCTGTCCCCATGGCACGGGAAACCCGGCCTTCCTCTTCTGTCTCAAGTCCAGACAAGGCTCAAGTTCTCAGAACCCTCTTAGTTCTCCTCATAAGCCCAGTGACGGTCACCCAGCGACAAACTCTCACCTCACCTGAGTGTCCCTGATGGCCACCACCACCAGGAGAACAAAGCCCTGGCAACATTTCGGATGGGGGTAAAAACAAAGCCCACACGTGGTATCTATAACGGAAACTCTCAGAAGGCCCTTGTCCAGTGAAAATAAATAAATAAGCTTCCATCTCAGATAGTAAGAAAGGCCGATGGTCCTTCCTGAGCCTCCCGCTCCTATTAACAGTATAAAAACCACCAAGGCACCTTTAAGTGGACTGACAGATATGTCTGCTCAGTACAAATGTGCTTAACTTAATTCCACGTGCAGCCTTCCTGCAGATTAGGCTAATCATTCAAATTACCCTCATACATGTCTCCCTCATTAAAGGGGAAATGGCATAATGTTCAAATTCCCAGAGGAGGGAAATATGAGGCATAGCTGGCAACAGACCTGGCTTTAATAAGATACGGGGGCGGGCAGTGGTATTCTGGCTCCATGGATCAACATTACCTCCTAGAATAAAAACACCCATGATCCTCAGCATTTCGCTTTCTTAGCCTGCAGAGCTGACCCTTAAAGTTAGGGGTCATGTTGTGCATCTTTTGATTTTGTTTGGTTTGTGCCTCTCTCCACACTGGGCAGTGCATCCTGCAGGGAGGGAGGGGGAACTGGAGGGGGTACAGAGAGCACTATATCTAATCCACCCCCCAGCACCCAGGGCAAGCCATGACTGGTAGTGGGAGTGCCAGGCTTGGGCTATGCTGCTGTGCGCGCCTGGGGCTCAGCTACTGTGCATGATACCAGCCCCTCCTGCTCCTGGCCTGTCCCCCCACAGGCTTGTACGACACAGCCCCAAGTTAGCAGTGGCTTGTGCAAAGCACTCTAACGAGGAAAGCATGTGAGATCCAGCACACAGGAGCCAACGGCCAACGGTCCCCAGTGTCTCCCTCATTCAGTCACTTTCCTAGACCGATTATTGCCAAATGTCCAAAGAGGCTGATGGGGACTCGGGCAGCTCTCAGAACTGGCCAGCTGAGGCTAAGGCTACTCCTTCGAGAACAAAGCACTAACTGGCAAGTCAAGAAAGAAACAGATGCATCTGAAAGTCAGAAAACTATAGGGAGGAAAGAAAAAGGCCACAGGTGGGACGAATAAGGAGCGCACGGTACTTCAAACTGGCAAAGGACCTGTGATGCGTGTGCACCGGCAGTGGGTGTGCGCGATCTCATTTTAGACAGAATGCTCCCTGATCAGAACCTACAAGGGCAGGCCTGAGCAAACAGCAAGAGAAGGTCTGTTTCTCCACCCTCCAGGCCACCCGACAGCCCTCCAGTGCCTCTGCAACGGGGCGAGAAGGACTCGAGCTGCATGAGCTGCACAATCATCTCAGCAAAGTACAAGGACGGCGAAACGTAAGCCAGGCTTGGGCCCGCTCCAGCACGCCCCTGAAAAGCTGTGCTGCAGGAGCACCTGCCAGTGAGGATCAAGGAGTGGCCAATAACGCACAAGGGGGCCTTTGTGGGCCTCTTCGCAGGAGGACCCATTTGCCACCAGCAGGACCTGTTAGCTTATGACCGGATGGTAACCTGATTTCTCTACCAGGGCACAGAGCACGCTCTGGCCCAGCACAAAGCTGAGGGGCAATGCGGGCCCCGTGGGGCTGAGAAAGAGGTCTATCTGTCTGCTCCCCCACCCCATGGAAGATTAGGTAATAAGCACTGGTGTGGAGTCAATACCGGGCTCTGGGCCAGGGAGGACAGCTGGGGAGAGTGAGAATCCCAATTACTGGAACCTGAAAAGGAGCTCACCTCAGGTTTAACAGAGGAATCTTTTAGTAAAGTTCTGGTGGACACGTGTTGTTTTGCTTGCTCAGAATCCATCCCCCAGACTCTGGGACAACATCTCAAGCTTGTTTTAGAGAACCTCCCTTCTCTGCCTGATGCTAAGGGGCGCTGGTTACAGGCTGATCCCATGCTGTCCCATCCCAGCCCCACTGGCTCCTGGGTTCAAGTTCCAGCCCCACCATCTATGGAATGTGTAACTAACCCTGGGTTAGTCATAAAGTCTCAGTTATCTCATCTGGCAGAAGTTGTTGGCCCAGCAGAGTAGGCACGAGAATCCGATAGACTGTGTGTACACTGTATACACACTCCACACACTGCGAAGTCCAGTGCAGACAAGGCTGGGCTATGCCTTCCTGTGTATGAATCCTCCAGTAGCAAGGCCCGGGGGTGGGGGTGGGGGTGGGGGGACACATGACAGCCTGTGATTGGAGCTCAGAAAAGTTGAAGGATTGATCTAAGAATACCAAAGTCCCCAGACCACGATCAGTCTCTCCCTTCTCTGAATGCTAATTACAGGGGGGGGGGTGGGGGTGGGGGGACACATGACAGCCTGTGATTGGAGCTCAGAAAAGTTGAAGGATTGATCTAAGAATACCAAAGTCCCCAGACCACGATCAGTCTCTCCCTTCTCTGAATGCTAATTACACAGCCACATCGAAGGGGACCTATGACTCAAGGCCCCTGAACTGAGATCTCTGTCACATATGAGGACACCATGCTGCCTCGCCCCATTAACATAAACTCTTCTGTGTTACTCAGGACAATGGACAGGACATCAAAAAGATAACATGCCACCCAAATGCCATTGCCACTTGTTTGTTTCAACCCGGAAGGATTAGTGACATCTTCTGTAGGTTAACCCCTTGGATATGCGGCTCTCTGGAGGTGGACTTCTGGAGCTTTTATTCTGACATGCACATTCCAGGAAGAGGAGAGGGGGAAGTGCAGAGGCTGGCACTGGTGCTGGGAGCATGCCAAGCTTGGTGGCACCCTGCTCATATAACCCCACTGTTTCTCCTTCAGGCAGTGCAAGACACAGTGAGGAGTCAAGCAGAGTTGATAAATATTTACTTTGTAGAAACATCTATTGCTACAAAAGAAGAATGATGGCCAGGGTGGAAAGAAGTCAAACCCGCCAGCATCTGGGGAGACTAAATATCTGCCTTACGAAGTAGAAAGCCTCTGCTCCCCGAGGGAGGAGACAAGCAGGTCGGGATACGGATGCTCAGCAGATACAACTCTGCACAGGGTTTGGAGAATTTACCCCAAGTATGAGCCTCTCACAAAACCAGAAGATGCGCCACAATTTTAAAAAATCACAATCTACCTTAATTTTATGGAGTTATACCAACACTACCGCAAGTCAAGACATTTCTTTCTCCGTGGGTAAAATGTAACATATGTGGGGCATGCACAGGGCACCCACCACACAGGGCACCCATCCGTGTACACCCCCACATAATATGAAGCTCAAAGTAACCTTACAATTATTACATATGTATTTTTAGCACATTCTATTGCCTTCCTGTGACCTATGAAGTTACCAAATTATCCTCGTCTTCAGGACAGAAGAGAGGATGCTGGGCTTCCTCTCCTAGATGGCTCCATGAGGTACATCACAGGTGAACCTCCTGACTCTGCGTTGGGCAAGGGAAGGAAACCAGGTTAGCTAGTTACAACCAATGTACGTAAGTCTGGCTGGAGCTTGGCACTGGTAGGAATATGCTTCCTCCTAACAAGAACCACCTCCCCTACCATTGACCACTGGGGAAATTTTTACATAATTGGAGGGAGAGACACCAGCAGCAGGAGCATAAAGCAAAACCTTCTCAATTCCAAGGGGCCTGGAGAAATGAGCCACTAACAAGCTGTCAGTCACAGCCACGTGTCCTCTGTCAGCCCCACCACATCCCCTTGCCTGGAGTTAAAATGGCTTAAGGAAGAGTCTCTGGAGATCCCCTTTTCTCTGTCTCCATAGCTGGACAAATTGAGAATGCACCCTATCAGAAACTGCCTGGAGAGAGGCATTTTCCGCTACTGGCCATTTCCCCAAGTCTGTATGTGGCATTTTACACCGAGTTGAATATGTGTATCTATGAGAAAACCCAGTGATGTTCCCTTGCTAATGCCTGAAGCCCTGCACTAATCTAGCAAAAAGAAACAGACTGTGTTCCACTCTTACACCCAAAGGAAATTCCTTTCCCACAGCACTTGTCTAGTTTCTGTGAGACATAGTCTCAACTGTGGCCACTAGGTGGCGATCGACCATATCACAGAAGGTGTGAGGACCAGGACTGACAGGGCCGGCCTTAAAGGCAGTGTGCGTGCAGATCCCAGGCTGTGAAGGGAGATGGACTCTGAGAAGGGAAAAGTCCAGTCAGCAACCAAGGGAGGGGTCCTGGCCTCTGCTGGGAAGAACTGTTCTGATACACTCGGGGGCCTGTGTTCACCTTACATATTCGAGTCTGAGACATGCCATGGAGGGAGGACGGGGTGAAGTCACCACCAATGTGATGCTCACGTTCTTGCAAATCTGGCTGAAGCCAACTCGGGGGACCACTCATCTTCCCAAGGCAGCTGACATATATGCCCACCAGCCATGGCAGCTGCGGCACGTGACAAAATGTGCATTCTGAGTGTACATCTGTGTGCTTCTCCTGAGGCCGTTTCCCTAGCACTGTGCTTCCTAAATGAGGCCACAGCCAGCACTGACTGGAGAATCTGTTTTTCTAACCAGAGCATTAGGGCTAATGAAATTTTCAGAGCTGATTTTTAAAATGAAATCAAGAAGGAGAAGAAATATCTTTCCAAGATGAGGTTTCTAGTTCTATTTACAAGGAAACGCCTTCAAGAATAACATGGGAGACCCAAACCCACCTTACTCTATACCAGAAAAACTATTAATACACAGTAAAATGCATTCGTCCATTGAGTACT